ACGTTTGGGACTACTGTCAGTCTTGTGAGGTCTGCCAGAAGGTAGGGAAGCAGGGAGACAGGCCCAGGGCCACTCTGAGGCCCCTACCCATAGTCGGGGAACCTTTCAGTCGTATCGCCGCGGACCTAGTGGGGCCCCTGAAATGGCCTAGTCCCACAGGCAAGAAGTATATCTTGACCATTGTCGACTACGCCACCCGGTATCTGGAGGCCGTAGCGCTGAGAGATGTGCAGGCAGAAACAGTTGCTCAAGCCCTGCTGCAGATCTTTACTCGGGTAGGATTTCCTCGGGAGATCCTGACCGACCAAGGCACGCAGTTCATGGCCAAGCTTACCCAACAACTTTGGAAGTTGTGTGGGATCAGACTGCTGTACAGCTCTCCCTACCACCCCCAGACCAATGGGCTCTGCGAACAGTTTAACGGTATGCTGAAACAGCTCCTCCGAATGTTCACCATCCCATAAGGACTGGGAGTGGCATCTTCCCCACCTCCTGTTCGCCTACCGAGAGGAGTCCACTGGGTTCTCTCCCTTCGAGCTGCTGTACAGCCGGAGGGTTCGGGGACCCCTGGATCTCCTACGCGAACACTGGGAGGGACTAGTGGCCGAGGAGGGAACCTCGGTGGTGGCCTATGTGCTGGAGCTCAGGGAGATGCTACAACGGTTGATGACCCTAGTACGGGACAACTTTGAGGCCGCCCAGAGCCGACAGAAACTGTGGTACAACTGGTCTGCCCAAGACCGAACGTTTCACTTAGAACAGAAAGTGTTGGCCTTGAAACCAGTCAGGCATGACAAATTACAGGCTGCCTGGCAGGGCCCATACCAAGTGGTGGAGCAACTCTGTGATACCACATACATTGTAGCTCGCTGGTTGGATGGAAGGATCCGGCGAACCTTCCATGTGAATATGCTGAAACTGTTCATTGACGGACAGTCCGCTGCTGAGTGTAGTGGATGTAGATATCAGCACACGGCTGCCTCCCAAGGCCCAGGAACAGGCCTGCCAACTGCTCCAAGAGCGCCGAGGGCTGGTCTCGTCTCTGCCTGGTTACACCACCACAACTGCCCACTGGGTAGACATGCAGGGTCAGGCCCCTCTGAAGCAGGAAGCCTACCGAGTGCCTGAGTCCATCAGAGAAGGGATGAGAAGAGAGATTAAGGAAATGTTGGATTTAGGTGTGATAGAACCCTCTGACAGTCCCTGGGCCTCCCCAGTAGTCCTGGTACCCAAGAAGGACAGAACTGTCTGGTTCTGTGTGGACTACCACAGGCGCTCACCTCATAGGAAGCCTGCAATTAGGCTATATAAGCTTGCGGTTCACCTCCTTTGGAACCTGCTTGTTTGGAACTCCTGTTATAAGATATCCATGGTATACGGCATATGCTATGGAATGAATCTCCTCTCCAGAGGGTGCTATTCCTCTATGTTTTTCATCTCCATGCGGTTCTCCACATACAAAAAAGATCTCGACATGGTGCTTTATCGTTTTAAAAGATTGACTTTTATTTACTTTAGGGTATGGCACTCACATGTGTGCGGATAGTGGTAGTACAAATACGATCCCAGACTGCCGCTGACTGCCGGAGCTGTGTACTCGTGGTCCGGCGAACGGACTGACTCCCTCCGAGTGACGTTAACAGTCCCACCCCTACGCGTTACGCCACTGGTCACGTGGCTTCATCAGGGGGATTTGATTCCAATCAAAATCCCCCTGATGAAGCCACGTGACCAGTGGCGTAACGCGTAGGGGTGGGACTGTTAACGTCACTCGGAGGGAGTCAGTCCGTTCGCCGGACCACGAGTACACAGCTCCGGCAGTCAGCGGCAGTCTGGGATCGTATTTGTACTACCACTATCCGCACACATGTGAGTGCCATACCCTAAAGTAAATAAAAGTCAATCTTTTAAAACGATAAAGCACCATGTCGAGATCTTTTTGTATGTGGAGAACCGCATGGAGATGAAAACATAGAGGAATAGCACCCTCTGGAGAGGAGATTCATTCCATAGCATATGCCGTATACCATGGATATCTTATAACAGGAGTTCCAAACAAGCAGGTTCCAAAGGAGGTGAACCGCAAGCTTATATAGCCTAATTGCAGGCTTCCTATGAGGTGAGCGCATATCTTCACTTGAGGGAGGATTCACAAGCAGTCACCGATTTATAATTATTGAAGATTTTTCAGCACAAAGTCACTTTTTGGGACATTTTTTTATTTTTATTTTATTTTATATTTGTTTGTTCATCACTGTTCCATGCACATGGTTTATCTGAGTTGATTCAGAAGATTCAGAGTATAAGATTATTACAATTTATGTTTATTCACACACATCATTCTTAATTATTGTAATTTTTATAATTAAATGATTTAAATAATCATGTATTGATTGAAGGTTTGAGAGCGCAACACTCAATATATTTTTATTTTGCATTTTATCACATTGGTAGTTATGTGCTAGAGGTTTGCGATCCAACATTAGAGAGTATAAAATAAGGAATTTTTGTCTGCCTTCTGGCTCGCAAGACTTTTCAAATATTCTGGACTACCACACGCTCAATGACCGGAACGTGACTGATGCATACCCCATGCCCCGGAAAGAAGAGCTGCTGGACCAGATGGCCAGAGGTAGTTTTCTTACCACTATCGCACTCTGCAAGGGGTACTGGCTGATTCCGCTGGATGCGGACGCGGTACCAAAGTCGGCATTCATCACCCGTTTCGGTTTGTACCAGTCCAGGGTCATGCCGTTTGGGATGAAGAACGCCCCAGTTACCTTTCAGAGAATGGTAGATAAGCTGCTGGATGGGCTGCAGGACTTCTCCTGTGCCTATCTAGACAATATAGCTATCTACAGTGATAGTTTGGAGGATAACCTCCAACACCTCAGGAAAGTGCTTGATCGCATTGGGCAAGCAGGGCTGACCATCCAACTGACAAATGCCATGTTGGGGTGTCCGAGGTCCAATATCTAGGACATCGGGTAGGAAGTGGGAAGCAACAACCGGCACCGGCAAAGGTGGAAGCGGTAGCAAATTGGCCCACCCCCCGAACCAAGACCCAGGTCCTTGCTTTCCTAGGCACTGCGGGGAACTAACGTAATTTCATCCACAACTACAGCGCCATTTCTAAACCCCTAACGGATCTGACCCGGAAGAATCTGCCGACAGGTTGTGTTGTCCCCAGAGTGTGAAACGGCTTTCCAAAAGCTCAAATATGATCTGATCCATCCTCCTGTTTTGGCTGCTCCTGACCCTTCCAAATGGTTTTGTGTTCACACTGATGCCTCCACCTTTGGATTGGGCACTGTTCTGAGCCAAATCGGGGATGACGGGAACAATCATCCAGTGGCCTACCTAAGTAGAAAGTTTTTTCCCCGGGAGGTGGCCTACGCTGCTGTGGAGAAAGAGTGTCTTGCCTTGGTATGGGCCTTCAAGAAATTGCAGCCCTACCTGTTTGGGCATTCCTTTACAGTACTCACCAATCACAGCCCCCTGGTATGGCTAAACCGGGTCTCGGGGACAATGGTCGTCTGCTGCGGTGGAGCTTGGCCCTCCAACCCTATAACTTTACCATCAAGTACCAACCGGGGAAGCAAAATTCCAACGCAGATATGTTGTCCTGGCAAGACGAGTTGGAGAAGTAACCCTCTGAACCGACCAGCCCCAAGCGGACCCGTTTGAAGGTCTCGACGGGTCTGGCAGGTGTTACGCAACGGGGGAGCCTTGTGACGAACCGTCCCTTTGTGATAACATTTTTCCCTTTCTGTTTGTTTTCTCCCCTTTGTAAAGCTGTATATGTTTAGCAGCTGTTATGTAGACAGACATTCTACACTTTGTTTAGGGAAATGTGACCTTGTAGTCTTTCATTTCTATAGAGTTCATACTGTATTGTTGGGTTGTAGGGTTTTGTTGTGGGTGGGGGAAAAACCCGATGCCAAGCTGTCTGGTGGGGAAAACCGGTGCCAGGCTGTCTGGTGGGGGTGAAGCTGTATATGCTGAACTGTGTTCAATAAAGATTGATTCATTTCACCCTACACAAAGTTCAGACTCGTGGTTTGGGATAGCAGGGAAGGATTGGTTTTGAGCTCTAATACCTGCCTTGGCAGACTGCAGGAAGACTTGCAGGACAAGAGGACCATTGGCTGAGATGCATTGCTCCGCAGGAGGGGGCCTAGGTGGAACGGTTCCACCACACAGGTGGACTTAATAAAGAGGCCGGTGAGTGTATATGCCTTCAATTCAGTGATTGCCAAAGAGAAGGTATTTTTTTATGTATGCTGCTGTTTTGGTCATCCCTGACAGTTGTAAAGGATGATCAGTGAGCTCCGGCTCCTTTACCAGATCCTCTGAAGCTGATAGATATTCATCACTGTATTCTGCCTCATGTCTCATTGATGCCATCTTGTCTCCAGCACTGCCGTGGTGGGTCTGATGTGCCTGGGACTGAAATAAATCTGGAATGCTGTGGGCTCCTGGTGTTGAGGATGGTTGGCAGTGACGGGGACCCGGTGTGTGTCTAGTTGGTTTGCCCACAATTGCTGTAGAGGCTGGAGGAGGATGTAATGTTCACGGGTTGTGCAGAGCTCCTCTATGCAGCCGCCCATCCCGCTGAGCATCAAGCCACGCCCCATCTGAAATACCACATTATGACCTTTACATGGAGCTAGAGATTATCGGAAATCGATCTATTAAAAAAATACAATCGATACTTTTTATGACTGGGAAAATGCTGGTCACTTTTATTCAATTATTATTTTCTAAAAAATTATGACCTCTACGTGTTCTCATGAATTGTTTTTCCATGACGAAGATCAGCCATGGAGTATATCTGAGGTGTATATCAGGGTGTGCTTCTTCCCCACATGAGAGCTGGGATGTCCAGCAACATTCATCCAGAAGACATTTCCCGCACTCAAGGCACTAATATACACCTCCAGGGTTGTGTGGGATCCCTGATGTACAGGAAGACAGGACTTCAGTGAGGAACATTTCCCTCACTCAGGACAGGAAAGTGGCTTCTTCCCCTTGTGCAGTCTCTGATGAATGGAAAGATTGGACTTTCTTGTAAAGCATTTCCTGCACTCAGGACAGGAATACGGCTTTTCGCCCATGTGAGATCTTTGATGGGTGACAAGTGATATTTTTTGTACAAAACATTTCCCGCACTCAGAACAGGAATACGGCTTCTCCCCTGTGTGCGATCTCTGATGTCTGTAAAGACTGGACTTCCGTGAAAAACATTTTCCGCACTCAGGACAGAAATGTGGCTTTTCCCCCGTGTGAGACATTTGATGTGTGACAAGTACTGATTTTTGTACAAAGCATTTCCCACACTCAGAGCAGATATAAGGCCTCTCCCCTGTGTGTGATCTCTGATGTCTGTGTAAATCTGACTTTTCTGAAAAACATTTCCCACACTCAGGACAGGAATAAGGCTTTTCCCCAATGTGAGACCTCTGATGCTTGACAAGATCTGCATTTTTTACAAAACTTTTCTCGCACTCGGAACAAGAATAAGGCTTTTCCCCTGCGTGCAATTTCTGATGTCTACGAAGATTGGACTTCCATGAAAAGCATTTCCCGCACACAGGGCAGGAATGTAATTTCTCACCCGTGTGAGATGTTTTTTGCAGATTAAGATGGGATTTTAAATGGAAGCGCTTTTTACACTCAGTCCTATCTGTTGGCAGCCTGGCCTGGTCCCGCACAGGCTGAGGTTCCTCAGGATACGAGGAATCTGATGGTCCATCTACAATGGTTGGTGCCGGATGGACATTGGAGGGAGCCGGGTTTTCTCCTGGACTATACTGTGTGATGTCCTCATCTTCCACTTTCCAGTCTGGAGACAAAGTGAGACAATCCTCGGAGGTTTTCCTCATCTCCCGGCCATGGACTAAAATACAAAGACAAAGAGGATTACTAGACAGGATCTGATTGGTTCCCCCAAACCAGGACTCTGCCCACATCATTCCACATACAGGACATCAGCCCACATACATTTTTATATTCATGGACCAGAGAGTGAGAAAACAACCAGAACTGTCACACGGGTGACAATGATGAGGGGTTTATAGGATGAGTGTTCCCACCCCCTCTATCAATTTATTGTCATTTTGTCTTCACAAGAAGTACTGCACTTCCTTATTTAGTCCATGATTTAGTCATGAAGAACAGCAGGGCTGAGCCCCACCAGAGGTCAGAGAGTGAGGATGGGGGGGGAGAACAACCAAGATGAAGACTGGACTGATCCTGAAGACCACCATCATTGGGGTATTGACTCCTCCCTCTCATTATCACTTTCTGTTTAAGGGTCCAAAGTTGGAGGATGTTATCACATTATTATCACCATGTAAAAGTCTGTGCTCCAATCACATCATCCGATATAAAATGTCCAGCTGGTAGGAAATGGGTGTAACAAAAGAGAATCCATATTATGTGTATATATAGCAGTGGGGTGGAGAGCAGAGGTCAGGACTATGGAATGTACAACACAGAGTATATAGTGCAGGGGTCAGGAGTATGTAATGTACAACAAAGAGTATATAGTGCAGGGGTCAGGAGTATGTAATGTACAACACAGAGAGTATATAGTGCAGGGGTCAGGAGTATGTAATGTACAACATAGAGTATATAGTGCAGGGGTCAGGAGTATGTAATGTACAACATAGAGTATATAGTGCAGGGGTCAGGAGTATGTAATCTACAATATAATATAGTGTAAGGATCAGGACTCATAATATTGGTAATCAGTGAAAACCTAAATGTTTACTTGAGAAAGTTTCAGAGGTTCCACACCGCTGCCTCCCATCACCTGAGACTGCACTCAGCCAGGAATCAAGTAACTCTGGGAGAATTGCTCTGTCAGTTGGACATGGGGTATGAGGTAGAAGACCCTAGGCACATGATTCAGATGCTTGGTTCAAGCCTAGGTGAAATTCTACATTTTGTTGCCAGCTGAACCCCAACATCGACATACTGTAAATTCAGTCTAGATACATACATTGCGTATGCAGCATAGAGAAGGTTGATGATGGGGATCTAGGTGGATCCTCCGTACTGCTTTCCTTTACAATAAAGTCTGCTCTTACCCGGTGATGTGAGGGGCGGCTGATTGTCCATCATGACGTCCTTGTAGAGATCCTTGTGTCCTTCTAAATACTCCCACTCCTCCATGGAGAAATAGACAGTGACATCCTGACACCTTATAGGAACCTGACACACACAATGATACAGTCACCATCCAGACACATCCCTTGTCTGTTACTGGAGAATGTCCCAGAATTCCCGGCACCGCTCACCTCTCCTGTCAGCAGCTCCATCATCTTCTTGGTGACTGCTAGAATCTTCTGCATGTTGTGTCTCTCAGGGTTTAGGGAGTCACATGGAGGCACTGTGATGGTCATATGATCACCTGACTTCAGAAGAGGAAATCTCTGTATTGAGGAACCAATAGGAATATCATGTTAGAATCCCAGAATCCTCCTCACCTCTCCGGTCAGGTTCATGTTTTATTAATAGAGATAAGAGTGATGTCATGTAACCTCCCAGAATCCTCCTCACCTCTCTGGTCAGGTCTGTGTTTTATTAATAGAGATATGAGTGATGTCATGTGACCTCCCAGAATCCTCCTCTCCGGTCAGGTCCGTGTTTTATTAATAGAGATAAGAGTGATGTCATGTGACCTCCCAGAATCCTCCTCACCTCTCCAGTCAGGTCTGCGTTTTATTAATAGAGATGAGAGTGATGTCATGTGACCTCCCAGAATCCTCCTCACCTCTCCGGTCAGGTCTGTGTTTTATTAATAGAGATAAGAGTGATGTCATGTGACCTCCCAGAATCCTCTTTACCTCTCCGGTCAGGTCCGTGTTTTATTTTTATTTTTTTTATTATATATCTTTTATTAATTTTAATTTCGATACAAAGTAAATCACATTAATGTTAACAAATTCCAAACTATACATGATACCTCATTCCCATTCCTCCCCTCTCATTCCTTATCCTTTTCCAATAAGATCTTCATTTCTTCTCTTAAGGTTGTCTACCTCCCTTTTTCAGAGCTATAGATTCCATTCCTTCTCTACTACTTTCTCACCTAATCTTTTCCTTTCTCCACCTCAACTTCCAGGGCTCCCATTTTTCCGAGGCCTTTAAGGCATCCCACTTACTACAGTCCTTTCTAAATTTTTCCATTCTATCTTTATCCATATGGAATAACTCCTCCATCCAGTATATATATTCTATCCTGTTAATCCATTCTCTCATCCTTGGGGGGGGTCCTTTGTCTTCCAGAATTCAGGGATCAAACCTTTAGCCACACTAATTAGATGATATAATACACTACCTTTAAACTTTTTCTCTGAAACCTCTGTACTGTAAAATAAACACACCCATGGGTCTTTTTGGATACTCACTCCCAAAATCTCCTATATGCAAACAATTACATCCTGCCAATATTTCTGAATTTTTTCCACCAAATGTGTGACATAGTCCCTCTTTCTCCACAACCCCTCCAACAAAGTGGTGAAACTTCTTCCCTTAATTTATGTGCAATATTCGGTGTACAATACCATCTTGTCAAACATCTATAATTCATTTCTACCGTATTCAAATTTACAGCCCCGTGTACTAATTTAAACACTTTTTCCTTCTGTTGCTCATCCATCTTTGTGCCCAATTCTTTTTCCCAACTCTCTAAGAATCTTGGAGGCTCTGTCTCCATTAACACGTTGAGCATCTTATATATTTTAGACAATACATGTTTACAGGCTGTATCCTGGCTCAACATTTTTTCGAATGGAAGCATATCCTCCACCTCCCACAGAGGACGGAAAAGTGTTGAAACAAAATGTCCCAATTAGTAATACCTAAATTCATGTAATTCATCAAATAAATCCTTCCTTTTCCTCAGTTCCTGAAAATTACACACCTTCCCCTTAACTAAAATATCCCCCAATCGTGCATCTCTATCCCTAAACCATCTTCCTGCTATTTTCATCATTCCCTGGTGGAAAGAAAAACAGTCCCCACAAAGGGAATCCTCAGTGAATTAAACTCCCAACCCATAGATTTGTGTAACCTATCCCAAAGTCTCAATACCTCCCTTGTCAGAACACTCCCGTTTTCCCCTCTCATACGAAATTTACTTGGAATCCATATTATCTTTCCCAGCTGTGCCATACTTAGTGTTTCCTCCATTTTTACCCAACTTTTTTCTTCCACATTATATGTCCAGTCCACCACCCTCGACAGGAACACCAACATATAGTACTTCCTCATATCCGGCAGGTTCAATCCTCCCCTCTCCTTATTTTTACAAAGTATCTTATAACCAATTCTTACTTTCTTGTTAGCCCAAATAAAACTTGATATCATTTTTCTTATTATCCTAAAAAAGGGTCCTGGCAAGTATTTTGGGATCATTTGAAACTTGTACAGTATTTTTGGGACCACTACCATCTTTACCAAATTAATGCACCCAAGCCATGAGACCCCTCCTATTGAAAGCCTTCTCAACTCATCTTTGATTTAATTTATTAATGGTATATAATTGGCTTGATATAAACCTTTTAATGAAGGAGTTAGTTTTATTCCTAAATAACTTAATTCTCTCTCCCTCCACACAAAAGGAAATTCCTTTTGCAGGGCCAACATCTCAGCTTATGCTAAATAATATTTAAGATCTCTGATTTAGATAAAAAAAATTTCAAGTTTGTTAACTTTCCGTAATTTTTCAGCAATCCCATTAGATTTAGCAACGTTACTCTCAGATTAACAATGTAAAACAACATATCATCCACATAAGCTGCCACCTTATGTTCTATTTCACCTATACAAATTCCTTTAATATCTATATTCTTTCTAACTGTAGCTAATAATGGTTCCAAAGATATTGCAAGCAATAAGGGAGACAATGGACACCCCCTGCCTTGTACCATTGTACATTTTAAAGGGGGCTCAAAAATTGACTTTAATCGATGCAGAGGGTCCATTATAAAGCTCTCTTATCCACCTCATCATTTCATTTCCTATTCCTAAGGCCTCTAGCGTACTAAACATAAAACTCCAATCCACTCTATCAAAGGCTTTTTCAGCATCTATTGATAATAAAATCGTCGACTGTTCCCTTCTTCTTGCTTTTTGTAAGAGTAACAGAGTTATCAGTCTGTTATCTCTACCCTCTCTTCTTGGAACAAAACCTACTTGATAATAATGTATCCACTCTGGCATTAATTCCTTCATCCTTGTAGCCAAGACCTTCGCAAATAATTTTGTATCAATATTTAATAAAGATAACTTGCACATTGTGCACTATCCTTTCCTTCTTTAAGAATAACTGTAATATATGCATGCAATGATTCCTCTCTCATTTCTACTCCTTCCCCTAATGCATTCATATATTTACATAATTTAGATACTAGTATTTCTTTAAATTTTTTTATAGTATCCCACCGTAAACCCGTCAGGTTCTGAACTCTTTCCCCCCACCGTGTTCTTTAGTGCAATGCTAATTTCATCCTGAGATATTACTCGGTCTAGGGCTGCCAGTTCCTCTTCCGTTAATGTTGGTAAATGTGCCTCTTTGAGAAA